ATTTATTCATCTATCAACACATAGTAAATATGAAGCAATATTTAGAAGAAAATTGGAATGGATTCCTTATAATAAATTTTGTGATGTTAAATATATTGTAGTAGACATGTTTAAAAAAATGTATAGAGCAAAGTGGATTAATAAAAGAAACAGTGTGTTTCTAAAAAGTTTAGATGATCCAAATAACGTTACACCGGAGTTCGTAACAAGTGTATGTTTGAATTTATTATTTAATGAAATTTTTTCAAACAATCTTATTTATATTAACGTAATTTATTATTATCATAGATTACAGTACTACATGAAATTTATGGAATAACTCAAGTCCCAAAAACAAAAACTTTTATGTTAGTTTTGAATGAAATGTGTGAAAAATGTAATATTATATGTAGTGCGATGCATTATCAACAAAATTTTGAAAATTGGACTAGCGGTAATAATGATATTGACAAATATATTCAAAATACGCAGCTATTAGCACATGTTGGTCATAAAAATTCATTGGAATGGATACCTTATGATAGATTCTATGATTTTAAATATGTTGCAGAAGGCAAGTTTGGCAAGACGTATAAAGCAAATTGGACTGATGGAAATATAAGATATTGGTATAGTAATAATTGGATAAGAGAAAATCCAAATATGCTTGTATTTCTGAAAAGCTTGAAAAATTTAAAAGATATTACATTGGAACTTAATGAGGTATAATATGAATTTGTATTATAATATATAATTGAGAACTCAATTTCACTAAATACTAATGTATTGTTTTTGTAGATTACGGTACCTCATAAATTCTATGGAATAACTCAAGATCCAAAAACAAATACTTATATGGCAGTTTTGAGTGAAACATGCGAAAATTGTGATAGTATATGTAATGCAATACATTTTCAACGAAATTTTGAAAATTGGACTAGCGGTAATAAAAATATTGATAAACTTATTCAAGACACCCAGCTATCAGTACATAGTAAATATGCATCAGTAATTAAAAAAATATTAGAATGGGTACCTTATAATAGACTTTATAATATTAAATATATCTCAGAAAGCAATTATAAAGCAACTTGGATTGATGGATGTATAGATAAATGGGATCATCATAATAATAAAACTTGGAAAAGAAAAGAACAGAATTTGATTGTATTTCTGAAAAGTTTAGATAATCCAAATAATATTACGTCAGAATACATAAATGAGGTATATTAAATTTATTATTTAATGTATGAAATTTTTTTTTTAATTTTGATTTTTACTATGTTTATATTTGTAGATTTCAAAACATTATGAAGTTTACGGAATAACTCAAGATCCAGAAACAAAGAATTATATGATGATTTATAATGAAGTATGTGGAAAATGTAAATATATATGTAGTGCAATACATTTTCAACGAAATTTTAAAAATTGGACTAGTGGTAACATAAATGTTGATAAATTTATTCAAGATATTCAGTTGTCAGTTCATAAAGACACTAATATAAGAAACGTATTAGAATGGATACCTTATGATAAATTTAACAATATTAAATACATTGGGAAAGGTGGATTTGCTAATGTGTATAGTGCAGAGTGGGCAATAAATGGTCAACATAATAAATTGGTCGCTCTAAAAAGTTTAAATAATTCAAAAAATATTACATTAGAATTTATGAATGAGGTATGATTATTTTATTTTATTTATTAAGAATTTCGAAATTTTGCTTTTTTGTAATATTTATTATATTTATTAATATTTCTTTTATATATATATATAGATTGCTTTACATAACAAAATAGGAAATTCTTTTTCTATTATTGATTTTCATGGTATAACTCAAGATCCAAAAACAAAAAATTATATGATGGTTTTGGAATATGCAAAGGAAGGAAGTTTACGAAATTATTTAGATAAAAATTATAATGAATTAAGTTGGGATGATAAATTACTTCATTTATATTATATTTCATCTGGACTTGTATCTATTCATAAAAATGGTTTAGTTCATCGAGATTTTCATATAAGCAACATATTGGTATCCAACTACACAAAAATAACTGATATGGGATTATGTAAACCTGTAAATTATGATGCATCAGAAAATACAAAAAAATGTATATATGGTGTTTTGCCTTATATTGCTCCTGAGATTTTACAAGGTCAAAGTTATACCAAAGCTGCGGATATTTATAGTTTTGGTATTATTATGTATGAAGTAATTTCTGGGTTACCACCATATCATGATGTAAGTCATGATAAAAATTTAGCGATAAAAATTTGTCAAGGGCTTAGACCAAAGTTTAACATTAAGGTACCACAATTAATCGTGCATTTAATTAAAAAATGCTTAGAAGCAAATCCATTAAATCGACCAACAGCAGATGAAATTGAAAAAATTTTATGTAGTTGGCGTGATAATCGTGTAGTAGAATTACAAAAACAAATTAAAGAAGCAGAAGAAATGAATAATAAATTACTAGCTGGTGGTATACATTCAACCAATTTAAGAGTATCATATAGGACACATTCTGAAGCTATTTATACAAGTAGATTACTTAATTTTGATAATCTTCCCAAACCAAAAAATTCTGATTATTATTATGAAAAGAAGGATACTAGTATGAATAGCATTGAATCTTCAGGTACTGTGCGTTTAATAAAAAAAAAAAAATATTTAAAACAATTATAATAAATGCTAACTAAAACTTTATTTATTTTAATTAGCGCCATTGTCTTTACAAATTGATGTTTCAAAATTGAATATTAACTACAATAATAATCCCGCCAAATCGAAAAATTCTGGTGCTTATTATAAACAAAGGATATTATAAATAATACGAGACCTTCAGGTATTGATAAAAAATGTTTAAAATAATTACAAAATAAAAAATTTACTGATAAGACATTTTATTTATTAAATAGTGTCATTATTACCTTTACAAATTAATGTCTCTTAAATTAAATATTGGTTGGAATGGTAAATTTTAACTTTTATTATATTAACACTTGATATTATTAATTCTTAAATTCAATAATCTCTTTAATTTAGGTCAAAATAGCAAATTTAAGGATTTAAGGCCAAATATAAGTCTAGGACTAATCATAAATAAGTGATTTCCATTGGTCATAGAAATTGAAAGAATTTTTAATTTGTTGGATCGAATAATGTGTAAATATTTTTTCGCCATTATAAAATATAATTACGTTTGGAGTTCACTATTCCTAAAAACAAAGTGAAAGTGTACGAGAAATATTTTTTAAGACAAAACCATTTAAGAAAGTAAAGAAGGGCGGGAAAAAATAGTGATATTCTAGAAAAAAAACTTTGAATAGAAATTACAATATTTCCTTTTTATTCCAGTTTTTAAAATGATAATACCGATAAGAATATGATAGATTATCAAATTTAATATTTATTGATTAAATAAATCCACTAAACTTTTAATTATACTAATATAGACTTTATTGCGCACATAATTTGATCCTAATACATAAAAAATTTATGTTAAATGAAAAAAGTTTTTAATAATAATATTATACATCTCATGAAAATATCGTTTATTAATTGCAAGAGCGAAATATAAAGTACAGGACGTGTGAAGATTAATGATTCCGGCCGATATCTATAAAATTGTAGGCCATTCTAGAAGTTGGAGTTAATCGGTCAATCAGTTAAGGTTAATTGGTTTTTGGTCAGTTCCAACCTCTAGGTCATTTTTATACAAATTGTATTCTTTATCTGTTATTAAATTATACAGTATCAAATTTTAATTTTAATTATTTTCATTTCTAATATTTCTACTAATACACTGCAAAAAAATTTAATAAAACGTTCAGTTTATAAAGTTTATAACAACGCTCCATGACTCAGCAACTAACCCTGTAAAAAATTTTATCCGTTATTTCTGTAAAAACTCCATAAAAATGAGCCTTTCACGGATCCATTCATGGAAATTATAAATAATTCGATAAATCCGTATTAATTCCGGAATATGAGCCTTTTACGGAAAAAAGATGGAATATAAAAAACGGATCGACTTTTTTATAGAGTCAGATTTTTAATATGACTGACAATATAATGGCGAAAATAATTCTTCATCATAAATGACATAAATGACTTTGTGATACGATTTCATACCTTTTTATCCGAGATTTAATTCATCGATCGAAAAAACTCTATATCTCGAAAGAAAATGACTTTTTAACTAAATTATGTCTTGAAGTGAAAATAAAATTCTAGAAAATCAGAGTCATGTTTTATTATTTCATCCCGTACAATTAAGATCATTTCAGCTAAACCCCTGATTCTAGGCAAATTCTATCACACTATCATTTGATCATTCCGGGCACTTCTTTTTCCCTACTACAAAAGTGATATATAAACTGATTATCATTTTTAGTCCTTTATACTATTTTAAGTTTTTTAAATTACTATCGAATTAAAAAAAATATGCAAAACCTTAACGTTAAATAAAAAAAAAAGATATATATATTTAACATTATTGTAATGACAATTTCCTTTTATTTAAAGAATTCGAAAGGATAAAATAGTTAAAATTAAATAAAAAGAATATATTTTTTTGGTTAAATAGTATAATTTAAATAATTCACAAATTAAATAGTAATTTTAGTTTATCTCATCACTTTTTTAGTTCAAAAGTTTAATTAAAAATAACTAAAATCTCAATCAAAATTCAACTACTAAAATTTACTCATTTTCTACGCATCTAGACCAGAATCATGTAATGCCGCCTGGCATTATCCAAAAAAGGGAGATCTACACGTTACTTGGTTACTCTACGCAAAACTCCGTATTTGTGTATTTCTTGGGTCTAAACTGGAAATGATTTCTATTTGATCACAAGGTGGTACAATGCAGTTGCATTTTACATAAGGTTTCAGCCATTAAAATTGGTAACCAATTTTTTAACAATGTTAAAAGAAACGAAAGAAACCGACCCTAAAGAATCAAATTATTATGTCGATTGGTTAGACAAATCGATTGCAAATGAATACTTCAATTATTATGAATTTTCGGAATTTAAAAATTTAGAACTTATAGGAAGTGGTTCATATGGAAGTGTCATTCGTGCTAATTGGAAAAATATTGAAAATTTTTTCGCTTTAAAAACTTTTAAAAATTATGACAATATAATGTTAAAAGAACTTGTTAATGAGGTAATTAATCTCGGCTATCTTCATAAATTTTACAAATTGAAATTAAAATATGATTTCTTTTCCAGATAAAATTACAAAAAAGAGTTGATTTTCACGAGAATATTATACGGTTTTATGGCATCACGAAAGTGGAAGCTGGTAAGATTCAAGTGCTAGCATGTGTTACATTAACGTTTTGGTTTAACACACTCTTTTTTATCTAGAAAAATATTCGTTAGTCTTAGAATACGCCGACAATGGTACACTAAAAACTTATTTAAATAATCATTTTAATGGACTTAATTGGATTGATAAATATCAGTTGGCATTTCAACTAGCTAATGCAGTAGAATGTTTACATGATTGTAATATTATACATCGTGATCTGGTAATAACAAATTACTAACTTATAATTTGCTATTTTAATTATAATCGTATCGTACTAAGGTTTTCATTTATAATAATAGCATGCAGATAATATACTTGTACATGGGAAAAAGATAAAGTTAACAGACTTTGGTTTATCAAAAAAAATTTCTGAAGCATCAAGCAAAACATCAAAAATATTTGGTGTAATACCTTTTATCGATTCAAAAAAATTATATGATCAAGGTTACAAATTAAACAAGAAATCTGATGTATATAGCGTCGGAGTTTTGATGTGGCAAATTTCAAGTGGCCGTCAACCTTTTTCTGATTATAATTATGATGCAATTTTATCCTTGTCCATAGCAAATGGCAAGCGAGAAGAAATTATTGACGGTACTCCTAAAGAATATTGTGACTTATTTGCAGGTAATGAATATGATTATAAATATTTTTAATTCATTAATTCATTTATTAATGTGATTTATTTTAACCAGAATGTTGGAAAGATGATCCAGATGAACGTCCAAATATACAAAATGTCGTTTCTATTCTTTATGAAATAATATTTCCCAAACAAGAAGGTATAACTATTACTGATAATGTTAATAAAGAAAAAGAAAATAACCAACTGAAAAAATTTGAACCAATTTCTAAATCAATCGAAACCATGGAATTAAATAATGAATTGATATCATATAATGGATTAAATATAAGTTGTGAAAATAATTTATCAAGTTCATCAATTCAAACAAATATATCAAAAATTTCATATGGGTCAACATTTGATAAGACTAATAATATAATTGTTCAAAAGTTAATTAAGGTTATAAATAGAAAACATGATAAGGAAAGTATTAATTTTCGAGATTTTCAACAATTTATCAATCAACAAGTATTTGAATTAAATCTAAGTTCAAATAATCTTATTAAATGGCTAACTAAACAAGTAAATCCACAATATAATTATTTACTTGGACTACTTTATTATTATAACATCTGTACAGAAGAAAATAGTACAAAGCATTGGAATTATTCTTGAAAGCATCTAAAGACAATTATTTGACTGCACAAGTTTATCTTGGAAAATGTTATAATGATGGATATGGAATTAAATGTAATAAAAATTTGGCATTTGATTGGTATCGAAAATCTGCGGAGAATGACAGTATAATTGGACAATTTTATTTGGGAAATTGTTATGAATTTGGCATTGGAACTGCAAAAGATTTTATAAAATCAGTACATTGGTATAAAAAAGCGGCAAAAAGAGGAAATACAAGTGCAAAACTAAATCTTGCAAACTGTTATAGATTAGGAAAAGGTGTTGAAAAAGATGAAATTAAAGCGTTCATGTATTATAAAATTTTAGCCAAACAAGAAATTTCAGATGCTCAATGTCAACTGGGAGATTGTTATTATAATGGGATTGGAACGAAAATAGATGAAATACAAGCTAAATGTTGGTATGAAAAGGCAACAAAAAATGGAAACATTGTTGCAAAAGATAATCTTTTAAAGTACTATGATAAAAGACAAAAGTTAAAAATAAGTAATATTAAGGAAATTAAATTTCAAAAAAGATTAAGTTTTAAAGGTTTCAAATACTTTATGACTAAATTTACAAAAATTAATCAAGAAAATATATTTAGCATAGTTCAAATAGTGGCAGAAAATAAAAATAAAGGGTTGCCATTTGATTTAATTAATCACTATAAAAAAGATAAAGGTGTAAGAAAAGATGGAAGAAAAGCTTTTGAATTCCATAGACTTTTAGCTGAACAAGGATATATAAATGCAAAATTTCAACTTGGATATTGTTATGATGAAGGAATTGGAATTGATATTAGTAAAGTAAAAGCATTTGAATTATATAAAGTAGCAGCAGAAAAAGGAAATAATGAAGCACAATATAATTTGAGTATTTTATATGAATTAGGAGAAGGAGTTGATAAAAATGAGGAAAAAGCATTTGAAATAATTAAAAAATTAGCAGAAAAAGGAGATCCGGATGCAAATTATAAACTTGCTTACTACTATAATAAAGGAATCGGAACTGAAATTAATAAATCAAAAGCATATGAATCATATAATATAGCAGCTGAAACAGGAAACAATGAAGCACGATTTAATTTAGCCATATTATATCAATTTGGAGTTAGTGATGATAAGAAGAAAGCATTTAAATTAATGAAAGATTTAGCGGAAAAAGATGATGTAAATGCTCAATTCAAACTTGGATATTATTATGATGAAGGAATTGGAACTAAAATTAATAAATCAAAGGCATTTGAATTATATAATATAGCAGCTGAAAAGGGGAGCAATGAAGCACGATTTAATTTATTTAATTTAGCCATATTATATCAGCTTGGAGATGGAGTTAATGAAGATAAGAAGAAAGCATTTGAATTAATGAAAGGTTTAGCAAAAAAAGATGATGTAAATGCTCAATTCAAACTTGGATATTATTATAATGAAGGAATTGGTACTGAAATTAATAAATCAAAAGCGTTTGAATTATATAGTATAGCAGCTGAAAAAGGCATTAAGGCACAATATAATTTGGCCATTTTATATCAATATGGAGAAGGTATTAATAAAGATGAAAAGAAAGCGTTTGAATTAATAGAAAACCTAGCCGCCGAAAATGATTTAGATGCTCAATTACAGCTTGGATATTATTATTATGAAGGAATTGGAACTGAAATTAATAAATCAAAAGCATTTGAATTGTCTAAAGTAGCAGCAGAAAAAGGAAATACTGATGCACAATTTATTTTAGGTACATTATATCAAATTGGAGAAGGAGTTGCTAAAAATGAGAAAAAAGCATTTGAATTAATAAAAGATTTAGCTGAAACAGATTATTCAGATGCTCAATTTCAACTTGGATATTATTATAACGAAGGAATTGGGATCAAAAGAGATCTTAAAAATTCCTTTTACTGGCACCAAAAAGCAGCAGAAAATGGCAATAAAACCGCACAGTATGATATAGGTGAAAGCTATGAATTAGGAATTGGGACTGATAAAGATTTAATTAAAGCATTTTATTTTTATGCAAAATCGGCTGAAAATGGAGATATTTGTGCAAAATTTCAACTTGGATACTGCTATATAAATGGTATTGGAACGGAAATTAATAAAGTAAAAGGATTTGAATTATATAATGAGGCGGCTGGCACTAATATCCAAATTAACCTTATTGAAAATGATGAAGAAATAGTAAATGATTTAGACAAAGTTAATTATTAGTATCACAAAGCTGCAGAAAATGACAGTAAACTTGCATTATATAAATTAGGTGAATTTTATGAAGCGGGCATAGGTGTTTGTAAAAATGAAACACGGGCTTTTGAATTCTATAAGGAATCAGCTGATCAAGGGTATATAGATGCTCAATACAAAGTTGGGTATATTTATAATTATGGAACCCAAATTGATATTGATAAAGAAAAAGCATTTAATCACATTAAGATTGCTGCAAAAGGAGGAAATGTTGATGCACAATACAGCCTCGCATCTTTATATGAACAAGGAGTAGGAACTGAAAAAAATACCGAGAATGCCATTTATTGGTACAAGAAAGCCGCAGAAAATGGATGCCAGGAAGCTGAAAAAGGTTTAAACTTATTATTAAAATAAATAAATAATCATAAATCCTAAAAAATTTTATCTTTTCGTAAAATTTCGGTTAGTTGCTTATTATTATTAAAGAAAACACAATAAAAAAAAGATCAATTTTCAATAGATTATTAATAATAACTATGGTTATGTGTCATATTTGTATTGTTCGTTTTACTATTTAATATAAAAATTTATGCCATTTTCAAAAATATTTTATTTTTGTTATTATTTTTATTATCAACGTGGACGAAGCCAGTAAATAGGAAATGATAAAATAACAACAAAAATTCTCTATGGTGACGTAATGAAACAAGAAATATTATAAAAAAGAAGTCAGACGCGTGACAGTATCGCGGGAAGAAGTAGAAGGATCATGACGTGATTGCTTTTTAAAGTAGTGATGGTATCTTTTCTTTTTTTTTAGTGATATTGTGTGAAAGTTCCCAGAGTTTAAACTGGGCGGAACGTTCTGACCAGGTAGCGCGACCAAGGTCTTGAGTTAAGTTCTGTAGGTAAGTGATGAGTAATAGATCTCGGATAGAACGTTTGCCTATATAATTATAAAATAAACTAGATAGTTCTGACGGACCAATATGATGAATAAGAAGTATGCAAGGATGCGTTGCTGGTAAAGAGATTGATATTTAATCGTTTGATGGGAGTGTAAATGGAGGTGATGCGTTGATGCGATCAGCGATGTCAAATATGAATCCTGAAGCTTTATCCGTTGAGGTTGAGATCAGAATTTCTTTGTGTTTCAAAAGTATTGTTTTGATATTAGAGTAATGTCAGAGACATAACCCGACATGCATATTGGAATCGGTCAAGGACGCACATTCGACGCTCATTATTTGATGGGTAGAGTTTGGTATAAAATATCTGTAGTTGGGTATAAGAAGTTCGACTTTTGATTTTAGAACCTTGTATTCTTGACAGTTTTTCGCTGGTGGAAAAAAAAGAATGTTATGTACAAGTGAGAAAAAAAACTAAAATTGTACCAATACTTAATATAGAAATTTATTAATCATACCGCGTTTTTTTTTTTGATTTTAAATCTTTATGCATGACTAATATACTCACAATGTATAGGGGAGTCCGTTGGGTTATGACTTAACCATAGTTTAGTGTAAGACCAGTCTATTTGCTCGTCGAGTATGTATTGCTCTATGGGTTTAAGAGATGTTTTGTTTAATAAAGAATTAAAGGTACGTACTTGTATGAGAGTATTACTCCATTGATTTGATAAATCCTAAAGATGAGACATTGAAAATTTAAAGTTAACTATGATTGGGTCTTTCAAGTTAGATCCGACTGAAGCGATTCTGTCCGCTTCTTCATTAAATTTGCGCTTTGGCCTTTTTAAGGATGAGATGAATAGTTCGGTTCTCTATGATCCAAAAAGTGAGGTCCCAAATTAAGTAGTTGTTTTGCTAATTTCAATATATTTTTTGTATTTAACATGTAACTTGTTCTTCTACATTTACAGAAATAAAAATGCGTTTATCAATTAAAAAAAAAAGTAGTTGTTTTGTTTAAGTTTCGTCTGGGGCTAAGCGTTTGTGATTTTAATCTTTTTTCGTAAACGGAGATGCAGTTTGAAGAGTCGGTGAAAATGGTACAGGTACTATTGAATGACAGAGTAATCAAAGATGTCAAAATTCCCGTCGCTTCACTTTTAGTTTGCGAAGGGAAAAAAACTGTTTATTATTTCGAACTTATTTTACTCGTAATATTCTTTATTATCTCTTCATATTCCTTTTCATCCATTCCTAATTTTAATTCTGTCCTCACTTCTTTCGTATAATTTTAACCTTTATTTATAATAATATTTTCTCCCATTATTTATTATTCTCATTAACTCTGTAAAAACTTTTCCTTGTTCTATCGCTTCTTTTATCTGATTATTTATCCAATTTCCATTGGATCCTTTAAAGGAAAGTTTTGGTGTGGAGGATGAGCTTGAATCCAGCCGTAGCCGCTAGTGCATTGTCTAGTTCCTATCTGTTTAACCGATTCGTCTGTGTAAAAATGGAAATTGTTGTATTTAAAAAAGTTCAACGTGATTCTGATTGATAGCATCTTTGCAAATTAAGGCTGATCCGATTAGTTGAGTGATGTGATATATAGTTTTGGATATATCGTGATCCGATGAAATTGAAGGAAGTGTATGAAAGGGAGTTTTGTTATTCAAAAGAAGAAAATTTTCGTATGCTAAATGTTTTAAAGTTTAGTAGCAATAAAGAATTTTGTTTTGATGCTTCGATGTTCAGCTGATTTGAGAAGGTGAACTTTAAAGAGTAATAGTCCTAAAATGTCGAAATTGTGTGTGATGAAATAGTTGGTTATGTGTGTTTTTTTAGTGTTTAATGGATATTGATCGTGATGTAGTCTATATAGTACTCGTATGGAGTGTTATTATTGATTATTTCAATGTTGGTTATGTGTTCTTCGTTAGTTATATGATTTGTTTGTCGATTATATTCAGTTTATGATTATTGTGGTTTGTGTAATTTTGTGGCGTTTCTTTCAATTTTTTGTTTGTTCTATGTTATCATGTGTTATGTCACGGGATATTGTGTTATTATCATTATCGATAACAGATGGATAGTGTGATAATGTTGTTTCTATGTGATCAAGCATTTGTTCATCTTGTTTGTCATAAGCGTCACGTTTTCGGGGTATAGTAGTACCAGTAAAATCGTTATTCCTTGTAGTTGTGTCCATCATAAAAAAAAAATAAAATAAATAAAATTGTACGATGTATATTAAAAACAAAAGTTGGGTTTTAAATGAAAGGGGTTTCCATGAAGTAATCAGATGAAATAAAATATTGATATATATATTATATTTATTGCCAGATTCCGAGGACTCTACCTACTGAAGAGTATCTGGTGTTACATGATTGTGGGTTCAGCCGTGTTAGAGCCTTAGAGGTATTATCCGATGTAGTTTAGTCGATTTGGGTGAATTAGTTAGTGTATGATTCAAAGAATTCTTGGAAATTTGAATCTTATGGTTCGGAAACTATTTGGGAGTCGCATTTTTTGAAAATTAATGACGCGTTTCCTCATGTTGCCATTTTCAAAAAAAAAAGAGATCTTGTAATTGTTTTGTAAATAACTCTTATCCATTTGACACTCATGTGACTATACATTAACCACTATAATGACTATAAATATGAAGCACGTAATAAAAGCAATCTAGTAATTGTTGAAAACAGAAAGTGTTTGGGCTGAACCGTTTGAGTCATTTGAAAGTACTAATGAAGAATTATTAGCTAATTGAAATATTCTTTCCTAGTCATACTTAAAAATTAATGTTATATTGTGCCCAGATAAGGATTCTTTAACGTCTAAAAAAAATCTTTCTTCTATTTTCATAATTTATTATATTCAATTATGAAATTTTTTTCAATGAACCAATGTTTTGCAAGTATTATTAGTTATTATATAAAAGAAATTCATTTAAACTATATTTGGCTTACCAGTACTAAATTTTAACTGATGCAGTATTTGGAATTTTAGATTCGAATTTGTATTCCTAATTTAATTATTCTTAAGTTTTGATTTTAAGTGATATAATTATTGGCAATTATATTTATAAATTCCAATTACTTGTACTAGTATATTTAGGTCATAATATATCTGAACCTCAACTAATTAAAATCCATAAAGGACTCATTTTTAAATTGATATGATTTAATTTAGAAATTGTTAAAAAAAATATAAATCTTACTACTGCCCCTCCCTTCTTTCCTTTTCATTTTTAATAAAGAAATGAATCATGTGTAAAATCAAATAAACATTAAACATGGTAGAGAGCTTAAAATATTAATAAATAGTAAAATTTTCAGTATTATAATTAGGAGTTATGAAAATATTTGATGTTTTGGAAAAAAAAAATATTAAATTAATTTTTAAATTCATCTTGTATTTATTTATATATGTCAATAAAAATAATAGAATTAGTATTAAATACTCTAAAATTGAAAAAGGTCTTAAACTTTCACGATTTCAATCATGTAACATACTAAACCGTTAGATTTAATTTGACATAGAAGGTATTCTTGTCGATTTTTATTTCATTGTTATAAAAAATTTATATTAATTAATATTCCAATTTTAAGCGTAGAAATGTTATGGATTTTCCCGTTATGCAATTCAAATTATTTCAGAAGAATTTACTGATATTGTAATATTATAAAATTTATTTATGAAACTTTCCATCATTCTTATAACTAATTATATAAATAACTTACACAGTACGAAATGATTTTAATGAAAATTTCATATAATCATCTAAGTTATTGGTCTATAGTTACAATAAAAGCCCCAATTTCTTCAATTATAAAAGTATTACCTTCTTTGTAAATTATTTTCATATAACGATTATAAGTATATAAATTTTGAACTTCCATATATAATGAATCCCAACCAAAATTAAAACCGGTACTAATATTATCTAATGTAGCTTTAGAATTATTTACCACACGACTAATTTCATATTTTCATATCTTCATTATTTTCAAATGAAAAGATTTTATCAGATTGTTGAATTTAATTAAAACTAGACTAACTACTTGACCTTTACATTTATTCTTAAATGAATTAATATCAAATCGATAAATAAGGTAATTTACATACTTTCAGTACGAATAAATAAAGGATTTTTTTATCAATCCAATTGGAAATTATATTCACAAATCACAAGTTACAATTTGAATAACACTATATAATTTAGGTTGATCAACTAAATAATACGTCATGATATTTTCATAATGTCGTTAGGAATAAGCCTTAAGAATAACGATACTGTAATCATCGGCATGATTTTATTTTACCGAAAAAAGGCAAAAGGTCGATAAAGTTCATGTGCTCGAATGCGCGAATAATTTTTTGGTTAAAATTCATGTCAATCAATGACCTATGGCTTCTGAAAACACGCACATAAGCACGATCAACATTTTTCTGATTTTTGTTTGTTCAAAGACTTCATGACGTCATAATAATATTATTTGATCATATGATATCATTTATCAGAGAAATATTTTTCATATTTTAAACTATTATTAAAGTTTATTCATACCACCTACATTCATTTAACTTTCAGAATGAGACTGAATTTCCAAGATATTGTGTAAAAAAATAAAAGCACATTAATAAATAAAAATCATGGCTGATAAGTTGTATATCGAACATATTGGACCTTTAATAAGTTTCTGTTAAGATCGTTTTGCTTAAATAATTTTTTTTTTTTAATGATCATTTAATTTACTTTTCACCAAGTATTTTTTTAACTGTGGTGTAGTTATTCTGTTATTATATATAATTATGTATAAAGGAAATCAGGAAATCAGAAAATTAAATCAAAAATTAAATCAACAATCAAAATTAAGCTCAAAATTTAAACTATTTTTACCGTTTTTGCCAAAATTGTATTACAGGTTAAACACAAAGTTCACAAATATTGCTAATAATTTTATTGAAGATATATTGTATTATATATATGCCATTTCAAATCCTCACTATATACTGACAGCATGTTAAACCAATTTTATATATAAAAGCCTTTAGATTTTCATAAAAATATCGAAATTAGGTTTATTTACTGACTGTTCCTGGTAGGCTGTAGCGACTATATTTATCAGAAAATCTGGCAAATCACATGGATTTTCCATGATTTTGTAATACTACACCTTTTGATAACGAATATTTGAATTTACCTTTTATTGTAAAATTATCAATATCGTCATGTTTAAATAAGTCGTGCACTAATTACATATAAGGATTATTTACTTATTTAAAGATCCGGATACAATGTGGTCTGGAGATGTATTTGAAAATGGTTTGTTGTATTCACTGTTTACGTTTTAAAAACAGATTTCTAAAAATGGCTCCAGTTAAGCCATAGCTGACAGTCGATGATTTGAAGTTAAGGAGAAGTCAAGTTTTTTTAATGGATTCTTTTCTAAATTTTGATGGACGTCATTCTACAAAATTGGATACAAAGAACATACAATTTTCTCTTTTATTTTATATAACTTAATGCTTAAGTATATAAAAAAAATTTATTAAAATCCATGTTTATTGAAAATTAATAATTCGTTATACCAAAAATACTTTCAAAATAAAAATTTCGAAATAATATAATCGTGAAAATAAAGTGGTTGTAAAACTTATTTCAATTTAACATAATATGATGCTAAATTTTTATCGAATTATCCTATCAATCAATGACATTATAGAATTTTAATTGTACAATAATAAACAAAGAGATAATATAATGTTGAGTAAAAGTATATAAAGTTGATTTAACGTAATTTGAATAAATAAAACCAAAGGTATGATAATCAACTAATTTAATAAACTAAATAATCTTTGATTTGCCTGTAATATAAGAGATAAAATGAGTTAACTATTAAAATTATTTCTTAAAAAATAAATTGAAATATATACGTACCAACATTATCTTTAATTGTTAATTGAGAAATATCAATTTGTAAAGATTCTATTATTTTAATGAAATAAGATATATTAGTATTTTTCACATTTAATTCATACAAAATTATTACAGTATTTACCTGAAAAATTTTCACTAATTATATTATCATTTTGTTCATCATAATAATCATCTGAATTTTTTGGTACTGAAAGATTATTAAAACTAAGTAATCTACTTGTATAAACAGCTTTGGAATGTGTTTTGTATGATAAATTAATTAAAGGTATACTGCCAGTTGGTAGATTATTGTTGATTTCTTCTGCTTCCCTAATTTGTTTTTGTAATGCTGTTAATTCTGTTTCATTATCAATATGTCCAGATTCTAAATCACCGGATTCATAATACCAATGATATAAAACTTTTTCGACTTCATTTGCCGTAGGTCGATTTAATGGATTTGCATCCAAGCATCTTTTGATTAAATTCACAATTAATTGAGGTACTTTAATATTAATAAATCTTGGTCTAAGTCCTTGACAAATTTTTATTGCTAAATTTTTGTCATGGCTTACATCATGGTATGGAGGTAATCCAGAAATTACTTCATACATAATTATACCAAAACTATAAATATCAGCAGCTTTAGTATAATTTTGTCCTCTTAAAACTTCAGGAGCAATATAAGGTAAAACACCATATATACTATTTTTTGTATTTTCCGATGCATTATAATCTGCAGGTTTACATAATCCCATATCAGTTACTGTAACTTGAGATCCAAAACTAAGTATATTTCCAATATGTAAATCTCGATGAATTAGTTCTTTTTCATGAATACTCTTAAGTCCTAGTGTAATATGCCATAAATTTACTAGCTTAGCACTCCAAGTTAATTCATAACGATTTTTATCCAAATAAGTTCTTAAACTTCCATTCTCTGCATATTCCAAAACCATCATGTAATTTTTTGTTTCTGGGTCATGTGTAATTCCATAAACTTTAGCAACCGAAATTTCTTCATCTCCAATAGTTTTACAATGCATTGTTATCTAAATATACATTTAAAAAATCCGTTAGTAAAAATCGCATTTAAAATTAGAAATTAAGTATTACCTCATTAATGTAACGTTTTCTGAATTATTTAGACTTTCCAGTGCTACAAATGACGTCGTTTCCAATTTTCATTTATGTTATCCCAACCTCCATCAGTCCATTTGCTCTATACACTTTTCCAAAACCGCCTTTTGCAACATATTCAATATCACATAATTTTATTTTAAGGTATCCACCCTAATATTTGCTAATAAAGCTGATCAAAATTGATGCTGATCATATAACACAAAATTATTTCTCATTTTTATAAATCGAATGATATGATTGATATTACAAAAATATCAAAAAATATCAAAAATGAATTTATTAACAATATTATACAGTAATAGGCAATTTGTTATCATTTTATTTAATGAAAAATTATAACCAGTCCCAGTCCTAGTCCTCAAATCTTGGATCGAAGACCGTAAAGATTGCCTTTCTAGGAACGATCTAAATTGGTTTTTAATCGGTTAGTTTTTTTTTATTTTTAGGCCATTTTTACACAACTCGTATACTTTATTAAATTATATCAAACAATTTAATTATTTTTTAATATATTCAGTTCTTAAAATTCAAAACATATTTGATGTAAAAATAAAGTTTGTGACACATACCCTTCTATTTTGTATTCTTGTGATACGATTTATATTTTGTTTTTAGATTTTAATTCAACGATCAAATTAAACTTTTTATCTCGAAAGAAAATATTTTTTTAACTAAACTATATTTTGAAAATTTTTTAGAAATCCTGAACCACATTTTATTTTCATCATTATATTCCTTACTAATGTACGATCTTATACAGTATAACCTTAGTAATATTATTTCAATTAAAATCCCAGATTAATATTATATATATTTAAATAACTGTCATTTTGATAAAAGCTTATGGTTTGTTTAAAAATTATTAAAACCTTTTTACATAAAGAGGATTATTCCTTCATTTTTTATAACCAAAAAATCTCGTATTTTCTTTTTTTTGAGATCTCGAAATTCTATGTTTTCTAAAAAAAAAAAAAAGTGTCATATAAACTTTATTAAAAAAATAATCATCTGTGTCTGTTTTAATACTAGTTTAATAGTGTTTTAATTCCTTAAAAAATGATTTAATTTATTACAATCAAACAAAAATAGAAAACACAAATCACAAAACATTTTTATTTAAAAGGATATTTTATAATTATTTATAAAAGAAATGAAAAGTGTAAATTATTAAAGATTGAAAATTTTTTAAATTTTATGATTTGAATTTAATCGAGATCTTAATGATTTATTGATTAAATTTTTTAAACCCGTAATAAAGGATAATGGATATTTTTATTGATACTTTAAATCTGCCAGAAATTTGTCTTTTAACCAATCAAAAAAAATATCATATTTAGTTTATTAAAATATTCTAATAAAAAAAAAAGAAACAAAAATTTATGCAGTAATTTTAAGTTGTTACTCAATAACGAGTACTAAAGTGCGAATAATGACGAACTCGATAAATGATTGGTTCTGTCACTACACGATTATCTTTTATTACGTGGTCAATAATAAACTACAATGGCATTATTAACAATGGTTTCCATTCTTTGGTATTATTTGATAAGAAATAAGAAAATTTATTCAAGCAAAATTTGTTAAATGCAATTTAATAAAGAATACTATAAAAGAAATAGAAGTATAATCAGAAAATAACAACAACAATAATAATGTGAAATCTAAATAAATAATATATTAATAAAATAAAAAGTAATGAACAAAATTTTTGTAAATAAACAAAAAGAATTGTATTTAATTAAAAAAATGTGTCACGAACATTACTATAACTATTATGACATGCAACAACTATGAATTATTAAATTTCAAGTATTACACGAATACTACTTATCAAGTACAGAATAATGCGAAATAAAAAAAAAGTGTTAAGCAAAAAATTACGGACAAGAACAAACTATTTCTAGATGTAGTGTTTCGATCCGGATAAAACCTCAAATATTTTAACGTGGGATTATGATTAAAAAAGGTTACAAATTTCGACTTTGAGTGGACTATAATTTCGGCCAGAATTAAAATAATATTATTCCATAAATTTTTATTAATTTTGGTGGCCCAACCTAAATTAACCGAGCCGGTGTAAACGGTCGAATATCAAGCATGAAAAGATGATAAAATTCAACTACTAAACGTAATTGCCAAATGTTAAGAATGAACAAATTAATTATGAATTGGCGTAGATGGATAAATAATTAGCCGAAAAGGATAAACATTTAGGAAGAGTAATGGGAATCCCATAATTTTTATGAACTCGAATTTTTAGTGATATATAAACTAAATGATATCTATAATGTTGATAAACATTTAGGAAGAGTAATGATCTACATGATGTAATATTTATTGAATGATTGACAAAGAACCAATAGAATAATTAGAGTCGATCAATTGCGGCTTAGCAATCTTTAACAATAAGAACAATTAGAAAGAATAATTATAAGCCACAAAAGATAGATTATAAGCAAAATACATAAAGCGAATTAAAAGAACATATAAAATAATGTCGGAAAGATTAAAGAACATAAAATAATATAAAAGGTAATATAAAAAGATAGTATAAAGATGGAACATAAAAGATAACATATTAAAAAGAACATATATAAAAAGATAGCATATTAGAAAGATAGTTCAAAGATAATATGTAAAAAGAACATAAAAGATAGTATATAGATAGAATAGAAAGTAGTGTAAATTTGTATAAATAGAGAACGGAATTCAAAGTAATTCCACAGTTCTCATCCACAGAACTCAATAAAAATATAAGTTTCATTTAATTATTTGTTAGTGAAGTTTAATATTAATTAAAGGTAATAGGTTCGCCCTAAACTTTAATTAATGTTTGCTTAATTAATTTTAATTGAATAAAATGAAGATGAATTAAATATACGTTTTTGAAAAGTAATAATTCGTAGCGAGAGCAATCGAAGTTTGAAATTAAAGGTAAAAGTGGATATAATTTGGGGAAAATTTAGAGAAGTTAAATTTTATTTTATATCGTTCGACGTTTTATATTACTAACGCTATTTATGTTGTGAACCAAGAATGTTGTTGTTATATGTTATTGTATGTTGTTTGTTAATTATGCTGTTGATTATTTGCTTGTTCGTTTAATTGTTCGTTCGTTCGATTATTCGTTCGTTTGACCATGAGAATGCCCGTTCGATGTGGCAACTCTGTAAATTTATGACAGAAGGAATTGGGGGATCTTACCGGTATCCGGATAAAAACTGGATAAAACCGCTACGGATCGAAACTCTATCTAGATGTAGTAACAAACGTCTAAAAATAAGCCAAGAAAATTAGATTCTCTATTCTTTATTATTGTTGTTAACCATTTTTTTCTTTCTTGCACTATTAAATAATTTCATTGCCAAAAAACCAAATTTATTTTTTTTTTTTAAAATCCAAAATTAAATTTCCCATGATTACTAGGAAACTTAAGCTTCTATATTAGTAAATTTATTTAAATCGTCAAATTTGAACATTAATCACTAAAAATTTCTATAAAAGGAATTTTCTATAAAATACTTGGATAAGACTTGCATAAGCAAAATTAATGAATTAATTTCACTTTTTGGCAACTGTAAAAATTTTAATATGAATGTAGAGTTACAGCCCATTACCTGTTCAACTTGGGGTTATGGAATAGAAATTTTGCCAAAGTTAACATGTTAACTCTGGTCAGAACTTTAATGCCGCCCAAATTAAAGTTATATGGATTTTTGCTTGGCCACATATGGCTAACTTGATGGTCGACTTTCTGATCATCAAGTGAGCCATATATGAAATTTTTATTAAATCTGGCCAAAATTATAATATTCAGCCAGAATTAAGTGGTGTGTTGACGGTCACTACTGATAACCTTTGATAATCTTTTTAAACAATGTCAGTTTTTTTAAATTTTATAGATATCTTGATCTGTATATTTATCGAGAAAAAGAATTTGATATTTATCCTGAGTATAAACGGGTAATTAAAGCTCTGAACGGTTCCGGTTTGAACCGGAAACTGATCCGGAACCGGCAAAAAATTCGGTTCAGTTCTCGGTTCGGTTTTGGACTTGGAACCGTCCGGTTCAGTTCGGTTCTATCCGAAATTAAGAAAAAATGCGAAAAAATGAATAACGACTATCCAGTGATCGTACAAGGACGAGCCATAGC